AGTTAAATGTCCTTATATTTATTTTAATGAAGTGGAAATGTAAAAAAATAACAGGTACTTTTAAAGTGCCATCTTTTGCTTGAGGTGCAATGTTCAAGTGGAAAATTAAAACATTTGAAAACTTAAGCCAAAAAAGGAAACGCACACATTTTATGACTGTTAGTAAGACAAGCACAACAGGACAAAGATGTCTAAATAATAAAGAAAATTAAAAGTTATATTTTAATAATATTCTGAATTGTATAAAAATATTATCTCCAAGCTTACTGTAAGTCCCTGCCAATCGTTTTGGCAAAAATCTCCAGGAAGCTCCATCCTCCACTTCCGAGGTAGAAGATCAGGATGCCCGGGAGAACCTGGTACCACGGCAGGCCCGCCAGCAGCCTCAACACGAACAGCAGGGCTATGCAACACGAAAGACGCATCATCCTAAAAAAAAAAAAAAAAAAAAAACATGAACACACGTTAAAAAAAGAAACATTCATTTGGCTCCAGATCATAACTACTTAAGGTTGAATATGTCTGCGCAGAGGTTGCTTTTGGTTCAAGTGTGCAGACGTGATGCGAACAACTGAAGAATGTTATCTACAGTGATTTGTTTACATGTGCTGGGCCTGTTTTCAGGCCAGTCCAAGTGGAATACTTTGCATGAAAGGGTGAAATAAAGTGAAATTACTCACTGAACACAAAAACAAGTAGACAAATCCTAAAAGGTTTAAATGAAAGAACTGGACTTGTTCTGTTATTGCTCAAAACTGAAGACAAAAAAAGGTGATAATTTTAGATATTAAGCTAAAGTTTGGTGTGTGGTAGTACCTGAGAATCATCTACAACGAATACTCCAACTTGCACACATCATTACTGAGGTTTGACCAAAACGGCAGCGACTTTGTCCCTGATCATCATCAAAAGATGATTTTATTTTAGACTCTTGCATGAAAGGCAGCGGGTGATATGCATTCCTTCTAGGAAAGTGAGGCTCTAAAATTTAAGGACATTTTGCTTCTTATCCAACAGCAAAAAAAAACAAACAAACAAGCTTTTAAACTGCAGCTAGTCTGAATGATCAGTTTCACTACAACTGGCAAAAAAAAATCTCCTCGCATGTGGACCGGGCCCAGCAAAGACCCTAAGCACCCCTCAGGAGGGAGAGTGATTTGCAGGTGTGTTCAGCTTGCAACATCAGAACGACTCACAGCAGCTTTAGTGTCTTCTGATGTGAAGCGAAGCAAGAAACAAACGAAAACCCACTCATTTGCAGATTAGTAGAAAAAGCTATACAGACCTTGAGGAAACCTCCAAAAACCATAGAGATCTGTAGTAACAAGGCAAAGTGTTGTTGACACCTGATAGAAAGATGATCCTGAGCAGTAAATGATAGGTGCACTCATAATCTATTCATCAGCTTTGCTCTCATTTTTGTTTATTGTTCTGAAAAAGGCCCATTGGGTTAATTATTCTGACATGTTCCCCCTCTTCCTCCCTGCATGTGGAGACAATGAGCTATTTACATCCAAAGCTTAAAGCAAACTATTAAATCCTTCTGATGGGACACAGAATGCCACAAAAGACAGGCTTTAGGAGGACAGCTGTCACTTAAAAAGCCGTCATCAGCTCACCGTTTGCTGCCCAACCCGGAAATGAGAAAGGCGCGGAGGAGCATCACACTGCGGCAGGAATCGGAAGATGAAAGGCAAATGTGGTGTTACCTCCAGAACCATGTGCGCGTGAGGCACGGCCTTCATCCGTGACCTGGTGGGACAGTGTGCTAACCGGACGGGAGGATGCGCAGCGGTAAAGGAAGCGGGCGGACAGCTGTCAAGGAGGCATAATTTACCTTTTAAGGACCTGGGGGGTATGAATTTAGATTCCGAGCACAGACCCGTCTTTCTCCCGTTTAATAAAACCTGACCATCTTTCCGCTGAGCTCAACAGAACATCGCGGGGGCGATGATGATGGTCGCTTAGCAGGGATGAGCAGTGTTAGCCGACATACCTTGCTCCCTCTTTCTCTCCGTAACAGCATAAAGGTGCCCAGAAATCCACAAACGTGAAACTCGCTGAGCGAGATTCCACCTTGATCGGCTTACAGGCCAGCCTGGTCGCCCTCCTTTCCTCTCCCTCTCTCTCCGCCGCCGCTAGCTTGGCTTGACGGAGAAACGCAGACAAGCGGACACACGCTCCTGGGTTCAAATCCCACAAGCACCTCCCGCTGCTGCCCTGAAAACAGACCTGACAAGACGTGTCGACTTTGACCCCGCGGTCGTCAACCGTTTATTGTCCGAATAATTCATATCATCTTTAGGTTTATTGTAACCGGTGAGCTCCCTGGCAGGCGTAATTCAAATGACCTTATAATTTTCTGAGATGAGCCCGCCCACTTGCTGGTAGCGTCGAATCGGTGGAACAGGCACGATCTCTGACAGACAGGCGTTACAGCCAATCGAGAGAGAGGGGTCTATTTTGACGTCACCTCAGGCAGGGGTGGGGTTTGCGGCTGCGCGGCTGTTTGCTAACCGGCTAGAGAAGGCCCCGCCCCGTAATGACACAAGGCCATTATGGCGTCAAAAAGAGCCCTGCCTCTGCTTGTAGAGTCCGCCTCACCTCGCCCATTCATCATTCTGTTTGCCCCGCTCAGCCACAAACGGTCCAAACGACAAAAGGAGCCCGGAGGATGGGCAAGGAATGTGGTACGAGAACTAGAAGAACTGCCTTTACAATGAAAACCCATTAGAATCCAATTAAATGAAGATCTAGTTGCAGGCTTTTTAATTGCTTTTGCACAATGTCATTAACTTAAAGATCTAATTAAATTTCTGATTTTTGTGCCACACCAAACTGTAAAAATAAAGACCTGTTTTTTTTTTCTATTTCATCTGACTGAGTTCCACAACTTTATCCAAAAGTTTGATTCAAGCAGATTCACATATTAAAACATCAATGTAAAGATGTCATGAGCCATATTACATAACCTGATTTGATTTCTTCAGAATTGTTATAAAAACTCAGGATCACTGCTGCAACAGAGGGAACTTCCTCACTGGCTAGAAAGTAATTGAATAAATGGCTGCTATGCAAAACAAACAAACAAAAGCAAAAAGCTAAATGGTGTTGTGCCTGCATAAACAAACAAACAAACAAACAAAAAATAATAAGTTACTAGAATTCAAAGTGTTTTGAACAGCATTTACACAGTACAAGAACAAAGTATGACTCAGGTGTGAGATAACGAATGAAACAGGTAATTGTGTAATCCTCAGACTATAATTGCGAACTATGATCTATAAGAGATTAAATGAAACCTTCCCTGTGTTGGATACCTAATGACACACAATGCAGTTAATTGTATCCATCACTGTAGTTGTGAAATTCTGCTGATAAAAGTTAAGCCTGATAATCACTAGACAAGATTAGGCCACACCTGTAACATAAACCCACACAAATGACTTTTTGTGTTAGTGTGGAGGTTTTTAATAACTATGGTTGAGGATGTTAACTGTAGAAAGCTGAATGAGGAGCTGGATAAGGCAGATGTGTGCAGCTGGCACTCCAAGGTCACCTCAGAGTCTGTGAGCTCGGCTGAACTGATAAGGTATAAAAACAAACTCCGCACACCGCCCGTGGCAGATTCTTGTGACTGGGCTTCATGTACTTCCTGTATATCTGTGTAACCAGTCCTGAAAATCTGTCCTCGCAAGTAAAAACCGGTTAAAAATCTTCTCCTGTCGAGTGTGGTTCCTTTAAGTGAGATAAAGCAAGAATGTTTGTATCCAACATTTTGTTCAGTACATCAAGAACATGCTTAGTTTAGCATATTTCTTAGTTCATATCTTAGATCTAATTACTAGTTTTTCTTTACATTTTATACTTTTGTTGGATGTAACTGGGACCCTGTGTACACAATTTCGTTCAACCACATGTACCACATGGGGTGCGAACGACAAAGAAACCTTAACTTTAACAAACACCTTTTTACAAGTTACCTTCATCAAATTTATTATATATTTATTACACATGTAGTGCAAAAAGAAAGTTGCATGGGGTACTAATTATATCACACTTTTGACAAACCTTTAAATAAAGAGAAAATATATCCAAAGTCATTGTGCACATTTTTCCTTAAACTATTTGTCATCTCATATATTAAACAAACATTTAGTCAAAGTTACCCAACAGCTCCAGACAGATGGATGGAAAAAAAGGACAAAATCTTCATTGTCACTTGCAATCAGCTTAAGACCTGAACAGTTGGCATGTTTTAAATACCACGCCAGCATGTTGGACTAAACCTGTTCCCTCCTCGTTATCTCTGTCTGTCAAACAGCTCTATGAGAAGCTGTTAAATGTATATATATATATATATATATATATATATATATATATTCAAGTTTAGTTAAGTAATAAGTGCATGCGTCTTTATGAAGGTGATGCAATTACTCAATCCTCATCCTTTGGCCTGCTTTCATTGGTCTGACAAAGCATTCCCAACGTTGAACTTCTGATCTTTTCCCACCCCCTACTCTCTTTTCAGTCATCCAGTTCAAGACCAAAGTGTGAGTAGAGATCTCGTGTGGTGGTCCCCCTCAGAGCAGCTGGAAGACAGAGACACATTACAGGGTCAACTCCCTCTGGTCGACTTTTCAAACAATCCACGAAACACTGAACAGACTAGGATCACAGTATGAAGGACCGTGATTGCTTTAAAACACGGGGCTTCTGCTTGGTAAAAATGTTTAATAAAGTTGGCCCAACATGTTACTGATGAGGGACACAAATCCTGCATTTCAAACTTATACATTGAAATTAAAATAACTAATATTTTAACAAAATAATCTATTTTTAAAATAACTTAGAGGCTTCAAAAGGGAGATCCTTGTGGAAAACTGTAGCTTTTTCCTAATGATCCTTAATAAACGTTTTATTTAAAAATGGCTACATTTTAATCTAAATGGCAAACTTTGCCTTTATAATTTCTTGAAGGAAAAAAAGTAAAACGACTTAGATAACATTTTTGATTATAAACAGAATAACCTGTCAGGAAAGAAAAAGTACATTTGTTTAACTGAAATTATTATCATCACCTTTAAAATTAGTATTTATAAACATGAATCCATCCTGCAATTACCTGAAAATGTTGATTTTTACACAAACCAAAAAATAAAACCTCACCATTAATAAAAAGAACAAGTTCAAACTTCAATAGCTTCATTTTTTGCAGACAGAAAGCCATGATCAGAGACAAAGGGACAGTTGTCTTTAGGACAGGACATCTCTCTCCACTGCAGCCCACCAATCACCTCCCTCAGAACAACAACATACAGTACAACGGTCCTCAGTGTCAAAGTGCAGATCTTTGTGAAAGTGTTTGAGGGGAAAAAAAAGTGACAAAGAGAGCGAGACGAGAGAAGATAGACACTGTTTGTGTTTGACTGCATGTGCACATGCAAGTATGAATATAAGCATAGGCGTGGACAGAGACTGAAATTGTAAGTGTAAGTGAAGAGAAAGACTGACATTGTGTCAGAGTGGAAATGCCATCTCCGTTCAGTAAGGTCATTATCATCTCAACTGCGCTGCGTAAAGCTTTACCTCACAAATAAGCCTCAATTTAAATTTTCTTTGAAACACCAGTACTGCAAATAATAAAACTTTTGTAATAATGTCTACATTTTCTTTTACACTGACAAAAGACAACATATAAACAGAAAGACAAGTCAAAAGTCATGAGGGAAACCAGTTTAGCCATGATTCACTACAACTTTCTTAATAGATGTGAACTTTGCTCTCCTTACTCATCAGTGTTATGTTGTAACTCACGCATATTTTTGTTGAACTATCAGTTATTGTTGCAATAACATTATTTTGTTCAATGATTTCAGTAAGATCGATCAAATGTCCCAGCTGTTGATCAATATCAGCCAGTTTATGAACAAATTTAATTAACAGGTTTTATCAGGTGGTTAATTCAAGGAATATGAGCTAGATCAATACCAAATTAATTTAATGCGAGTGAAATGTTATTAGATTTTGGTTATTAATAGCCAGATTAAACAATCAAAACCATTTCAGTGCTGTCAGACTCTGGCTAAATGAAAGACATGCTTTGTTTTTGGCTCTAATAGAAAACAAACGTGTCTCTCTGCTGCCCTCTATTGATTGGTTGAAGAATTACCTAAATCAATATTGTATTTCAAGCTTGCCGTTTTAATTTGCATTTTTTCCTATAGCCTGCTGCTTCATATCAGGTTTCATGCATACACCTCCCATCATATTTGTCTACCATCTTCTCTCTTTATATGTTTTAATGGAACTCATCTTCAAATGTCACATGGGATTAAAAATGTCAACAGTGATTTGTGCCACATCTATTGTGTCTAAAACGGCAGCACCGTGGCACAGTTAGTAGAACTGTTGCCTCTCAGCTAAAGAATTGCCAGATCAAATCCCTGCTTAGGACCGTTCTGGATGGAGTTTGATGTCCTCCAGGCACTCCCACAGACCAAAAACATGCATGTTAGGCTAATTGGTAACTCCAAATTGTCCTAAGGTGTGAGAGTGTGAATGGTTTGTCTTATTTGTCTTGATGTGTCCCTGTGATGAACTTGCAACCTGTCCAGAGTGGACATGGGTACCAGTGACATATCCAACCTGGAAAGGAAGAAGCAGGTACAGCTAATGGAAGGATGGGTATTTAGAATATTACGTAGTTTTATAGCACATGATCACACTGCCAGTGTGTCACTTAGTTCATGTTTCTCAGATTGTTTGGTCTTAAAATAAATGAGCAAAGAGGTGTTAACAAGTTTCACATTCAGCTGGTAGTTTAGACCATTTGTGCTTTCAAGCGGCTAGTCTGACAACAATAAAATAAAATAAATAAAAATAAGAAGTTTAAATTGCCATCAAACATTCTGAATTTGTTATGAAAAGAACAGAAGCTGCAACTAGAAGAGGGACGATGGGGCGCTTCCTCTAAACGTCCAAATGACTGACACAATGTTAAACAACTCAGCTGTTTTGTTATACAGAGGGCAATTAACATTAATCCAAAACCAAATGATTTTCACGTCACTGTCCACCTAAAGATTGAGTGTTCATATGATAATCAGAAGACAAAATCATACTGATTTAATAAAACAAATTAGGCTAAAAAATTTTCCACTTCAGTCACATTTGTCGAGCTGCAAATCTGGATTGATGTAAACTAATAGTTCGTGTGCAAACATTTTATCAGACTTTTTTCCAAGACATACACAAAATTGAACATGGTGAAATAAAACATTTGCACAGTATATCTCTTACCGATACGACCTAGAAGTGACTGTCCAATGTCTTTGATGTCATTGTATTCATGCAGCTTATTAATATGAATGTCCAGCTCTTCAACTCTATATCCCCTGAAAAACAAACAGAATATTGGTCTTAGCTAAATTAATTTTTTGCAAATGCTTGGGCTCAGAAACAAAAATGTCAAGTGATGAACAATTAAAAAAAAAAAAATCCTAAAGAACATTTCATGTCCAAAGAGAAGTTACTAATTCCTTGTTTCCTCCTGATATTTTAAAAAGCCACAATTTATCTCAGCCCAAACAAAATTTGAACCAGATGTACACATTCATACTTACTCTGCCTCCAGCTGTGCTATCTCTAAATCCAGCAGTTCCTGTTTCCTTTGTAGCTCTGCCACCTCCTCTTCAGGACTAAATTTAGGACTTTCAGCTACCTGAAGCTGTAAAATGCAGAATGTACCAAAAAATGTCGTGCATTCATGGAACAAAGTACAAGAGTTGTATGGAGACAAGACAAGCTACTTACTGGTGACTTGAAACTGGCGTGCACTTTCTTCAACTTTGAGAACGGAGTTCTAAGAAGAAATGGAGAGGTGAAATCTTCATAAGAAAATATTAAAAGTAGTGAAAAAAGAAAATAGATGAAAAAGAAAATAATGGCCATCTCTTGTCACAACACAGCCTCTCTTTTACGTCAATTTATCTTACTTTTAACTACTCAATGAGCCAAATAACACATATTTAACCCCTCAGTTTATCATGGTTAGCGTAAGAACAAGACTTTCAGGGCTACTGAGTTGTGACAGCTTAATGAAGTCAGGGTAAAAAACAGAGGCTAACATTTAGCAAAGGTTGCTAGCTAGCTTTCCTTACAGCTAAGCTAACAGTTACCTTTTGAACGCCTCTTTCTTTGAGTCGTTTTCCTCCGGCGATAAAATATGAACATTGCTTGCACTACAGTTGGTTTCGGCGGCCTGCTCCGTGCTCATATTGCTTTATGTGTGACAACTTTCATTGATTTAACTTCCAGCAACACCAAGAAAATTGGGAAATTCGCAGTTCGCGGCTAATGTAACATAGTGATATTTGATTGGGTGTTAAAGCGAAGAGGCGGGACTTTGTGGTGGTTACTATGGCAACTGGCTGCGGCAAGAAACTTTTCAATTTCATTCAATGCGCATGCGCAAAATAAAAACGAACAATCTCAGATTTATCCTGATTCATGTTCAATACTGTAATCCAGGTAGAAAAATCTAACAAAGTAAAATCAAGTTCTCTGGACTTTTTTTTTTTTTTTTTTTTAAAGAGAATCTCAGATTTAAGTTAAACGTATTCTAGTGCTGGATCAATAAAGTTCTGTCTTATCTTATCATGATGTACTTAATAAAACAAAACTGTGAGAAAAAAATACACATTTGAGAACACAAAACACACACCTCAAAACACAATAAAACAGAAAATTTGTTGATTTAATATGTTGGGTCAAGTGAAGTAGCTAATACGTGCTAAAAAATCTAGTTATTTTATTTTATTTTTTAAAATTGAAGAACATTTTGTTTTATGTTTTGTTCTGTTTCTAGCACGTAGTCTACCACAAAACCTGGATTTCTGAACAGTTTCATAAAATCCACAACACACTGGAAACAATTTAATTGATATTTAACCTGTAAGTCACTTCTTTAATTATTTGTTTAATCATATTGCTCATACAATAACCATGCAAATTAAAAATTCAATGTCTAAACTCAAATAGCTTTAAATATCTTAAATATCACCTAAAATCAAACAATGCAGCAAACTATTACATTGGAATATTACAGTGTTTAACAGTTCTTAATCGGTACACACTTTCCTTTAGTGATGTAAAAAAAAAAACTAAAAAAAAAATTATATTTGGGAGGAATGCATCAGCAAAATAATAATAATAATAATAATTTTTTTTTTTTTTAAAGAACACTTTATTGGCCACCAGGTGGCGAGAAAACTGCAAATTTCATCTAGTCTGACAAAATTTCAGCCTCTGAAACACTCATCACACTTTTTACTGAGAGAAATATTGCACGATTGCAGCAACACTGTGACATATATTTATTTGTTAATATGGACAGAGTGTTTTCTGGATCAATAAAAAAAGATAAGCTCTTAAACTGACTCTTATGGCGAAACAAAAGGCTACATTTAGTTAAAAAAGAAACAGTTTTTCATCAAATATTAGTCGTCAAATCGTTCCACATTCTTTTACCTGCCGAGTTCATAAACATAAAGAGGCGCACAGAAGGTTCAAGTCTTACAACGGAAACAGACGTCATCGAGCTGACAATAAGAGGATGAAGCAGAGAGAGAAGGGCCGGCAAGATGTGCGTCAAGAGGAGTTGATGTTGAGGTATGGAGGGCATAAAATCTGCTCCATTCTGTTACGTCCTCTGGATTCATTGATTATTTATTAGTTGTTATACAGAAACAGAGTGTGGGAAATGAAAAATTCAGACTAGAAGCATGGCTTTTCCCCCTTTAGGAAACTGCACTATTACACACACTGGGCGGTAATGGCTCATGTGTGGGAGAAAGAGATATTCATGGAGGTCGGTTATTTCTCCCCATCTACAACACAGAAGAGTCACATGTGTTTGTTGTAACAACATCCTATATCAGGACTGCTCTCTTTATTTCTTATCAAACACAAACCAGTATTTAATATGCTCACACGTACATAAATTCCTCCTGCAGTTATAGGAATGTTGCTGCAAATGATAGCAACTTTAGAGACAATTTTGGACCTCCTGAAACCAGAACTTATAGTAGTCTGATGTGTGACACGGCCTGGCAAACTGACAAGGAATTGAAGGCAGGATTCTGCAGAGCAGGTAATGGTGCACGGAGTCAGCTCAACAGCCACAGCTAGACACAACTGGTTTGTTGTTCTAGTTGGAAAACCTCCTACTGTTTGCGTGTTTATAATTCATGGAATCCCAGCTGCTCATTTCCTCAGCATCTAAATTTCACTGATGGTGGGATGCAGTCAGGATTTTAGGGGGAAAAAAGCTGAAGAAGAAGCATAAATGCTTGAAATTGAGAGATTTTAAGGAGTACAAAAGACAAATTGTGGATAGACAGAGTGGGGGAGAGTTTGCATACTGCTGCTAGGTGAAGCGAAGGTGAGGATGATGATGACCAGCATGTCGTAACGCATCGATTCACATCTAAATGATGCTCTGTGAGGCAGCTTGTGCTGAAAGTCAATTTACCTCTATCTCAGATTGCCTCTGCAGGCCCTTTTATTGCAACAACAAATGCAGTCCAAACAATGCATTTATTAAAAGAAAGCATGAAATCTGTGCATTTTTCAAAAAAAAAACTTCTGCACAAATGTTATATGTTTTTTTGAGAAAATATAGAATCAGAATAAGCTTTATTATCATTGTACCGAGATACAGTGAGAATATGTCCACACAGTCGTCCAAAAGATGGGCAGAGTGCACGTAGCTGCTGCTATGATAGCGCAGCCTCTTATCCTTTTCAGAATACTTTTTTAGATAGAAAAGGGGAAAAAGCCATGAGGAGAGGATAGTGGCATTACAAAAAAGATCTCTTCACACCTTGTCCTATTAAGACACGATTTAAGACATCAAAAAACTCTGCCAGCAAGCACATTTATGAACGCGTTACATATGCATTTGACAGCAAGGTGGTCCATGAAGCACTTCCAGATAGACCATAGACCTGATAAGATGAAGGTCAGCCGGCACAGTTCTGATAAGCCTCCACAGAAGATCTCGGGGGGGGGGGGGGGGGGTGCGATAGAAGTTTTCCCTTAGTTTACACATTTCCCAGGAGAAATTGATATGTCGGCCTGTTTTCGAGGCCAACTGGGGAGTCAGATTCAGATAAGCCACATCTGTTGATTTTTTTTCAAGCAGACTGTTTTTTCTTGTCAGCCTTGAGTTTTACTGGTACTTTCACAATCCAAAATGGCCAGATTAAGGTGTATTCTACTGGTCCATGCTTACGAGCTCCTCCAAGGTCGTTTCCAACATGCTGGCAAGTCCCAAAGCCGCAGGTGGCCTGTGATTTTCACAAATTACTTCCATCTTACGGTTTAGCTTGTAAATCATCTGATTTTGAGTCCTCAAAGCACAAACCAAACCTTCACAAGCAGGCAGCCTGACGAGGGCCAAATTAGCTGCAGCTGTCTTCTTGTATGTCGATAGACCAGGAACCAGCCAATTCCAAAAAGCAGGAAACCTGTTATCATAAATACGGTTGTATATGTCTTCGGAGTCCTCCTGAGATTCTCAGTGGAACATGAGGGCTCTCCAGGACCCTGTCGCTTTTTGTTGAAAATATTTTGTCGATTGCGCTGAAAGTCCATCTGATCAGATCCATAACAGTAGTTTTCATTTTGGAAGATGTGGAAAATAGGAGCTCACAGACAAAGATAAAAAAAAAAATCTGGAGGAGAACAGGAGAGAGAAGAGAACGCATCCGCCTCATACAAGAGCGAGTGAGGAAACAAACAAACAAACAAAAACTAGACAAATAGACTAGCAGCAAAGCTATGAAATACAATTGGCTTGAGTAAAATTTTGAAGATAGCTTTTAGAAGAACATTCAGATGCAAAACACCTCGCCTGTTGCTCGAGTTGTGCTTTGATTTAAAACAGCTGCTTAATCATTTGATTGTTTTTTCATGATGACCCTGCAAAATTCTAAAAATATCAATAATAATATGGGGTTAGTTATAATGAATGGATGACATTACATTCCTTGAAAGGTCATCAACAGAAAAACCCTCGTAATGAATGAACTTTAACACAATTTGTGGTTTTCCCATTCCTCCACTTTCTGAATCAATATGCTGAATGTGTGTGCACGGCCTTAAGCTTAGATGAAACCCTGTCAGACTCTGCAGACTTGAAATGGGCTTTCAAGCATGTAGAGGAGTGAAAGTTACTGGGTTGCCATGAATCCCATGCAGGAATAAAAATAAATCAGACAGAGGGAGCCAATTAATGTTGACTTTTAGTACATTACATTTAAATGACAGTGACTGCGATAAAAAAAAAACATTTTTCATGTTTTATCAATGTGGCACAAATGTCCTTTTTAGAGTTTTTGCAAATCAGTGTAACTCAAGTATTTTTTCATTAGAAGGGATGTATCATAATTTGAATATTTATATATTTTCATCAGTGTGGTTGCATAAATACCATGACAAAATGTCTGCATGTCTAAAACGGGCATCATGTGATATTTCCTCCATCTGTCGTGTGTTCTGTTTCTAATTCATTAGCTCTGACTCAGATTTCTAATCATCTCCTTTGTGACAAAACAGTTTTTTTCTTTCCCACTAATATTAGTTTTTGCCTCTGACTCATTTGGTTTCCTGCCCGAGTAAAGTTTCCTGTTCTCCAACTTTTAGTAGGGAAATACTTTTCTCGCGCTGACAGTTTAGTTTCTCATCACTCTTGGGGACATGCTCTTGATTCGTAACCATTTTCATTCAAATGTGTTGCAGTTTGTACCTCCTGTTTCCTTGTGTTTGCCTTCAAAATGTCTATTTTGCATTAAATCAAGACGAAATCAGCACTATTTCTCTTTCAGACAAACAGCAGAGATTTTTGTCTGCGTATCATGGGAATGAAAGCCTTGGTAACTTTAGCCTCTTAATGATGGAGCTGAACTTTCTTCTTCCATGGTAGAATGACTGTACAACACACAGCTTCAGTAATTTTTAAGAACAAGAACTGGGTACAAAAATGAGCATTTCTTCTGTTTTTTAACTTGACAAGGCAAAGATATATTAATTTCTTGTTAGTGGTCATGATGCAGCTGCTAGGTTGTCGGCATAAAAATAGATTTGTTTGACAGTAATCATTGTTCAAAGGTCAAATTAAACATCTAACTGACCAATACTCCTTAGATTGAAGGGTATTAGTCTGAATGATCAGGATTTTGTTCCCTAGTGTGTCTCCCCCTCGTGGTCTGCTCCGGTTCCAGCCGCTCCCTGTTCCTGGTTGTCCTTTCCCCAGGTGTTTGTCATCGTCTGCTCGTTAACGTCTTT